AGGATTCTTCTCCTCTGGACCCCCCTCTTCCCAACCAACACCTTTTCTGCCGCAGCTCGGCAGAGGCAATCCGCACGGACGCTCGCAGTAGTCGTGAACGCTCAATTGAGTAACAGTCCAGATGCTAAAGGAGGGGGAGCCTTCTGGCGTCGCGGCCCCGCGCGCAGCGACAGGGCGTCCACAATTAGAGAAGAGAACGCGCGCGCGCGCCTGAAGGCCGAATCATCAAGCCGCTCAGAACGAAAACATACACACACACACACACACACACACACACACACACACACACATGCACACACACACACACATACGCACACGAACGCAATATGTTCCCTCTCCCAGCAAGGTGGCAGCACCGCCGTGAATGCTCCCGCGGAACTCGTCCAAAGCCGACATATTGGCAACTCAAAACACTGCAGGGATGGAGGCGAGCGGGCCAGCCGCAAAAGCGGGCATGCCGCGGGCGGTACTTGAGTTTCTGGCGCTGTGCACGCGACTGGCGCACGTCTCTTCCACGATCTCTTCGGGGTCCCAAATCGGCGGCGAGCGGGGGGGAAGTGAGAAGGAGAAGGCCTTCTCGGAAGGCGGCGGGACTTGTCAGAAGCCCTCGCGCCTTCTGAGAAGTTTTCTGTGCCTTCGGAGGCAGCTTAAAACTTCCTTGAAAGGCTGGAGGACCTCCGAACCTTCTGAGAAGGCCCGCCCCTTCTCACTTCCCCTCCCGGCCTCGCCGCCGATCAAAACTAGACAAGCGCGTCCCACTGCTTGCAGAGTTCGGGGGTTGCTGAAGGTACCCCTGGCCTCCAGAGCGCCCAGTTTTTCGCTTGATCCTGGAAGCCCTGGAGCCCCTGGGGCCCTCTGGCCCTCGTGAGGGGGCCGCGGGGGCCTCCTTGGAAATCCTGGGAACACCTTGGGCCAGGGGCACCTCCGGCAACATCCGAAAAGTAACTACTCGCCAGTGGCCAGAGGGAGGGAGGGGGAAGGAGGAAGGAGGAAGGAGGGAGGAAGGGAAGGGAAGGAGGAAGGAGCAGGAGGGAGGAGCAGGAGGGAGGAGCAGGAGGGAGGGAGGGAGAAGAGGAGGGAGGGAGGGGAGGTAGAAAAGGAGGAGGGACGGAGGGAGGGTGGGAGGAGAGATTGAGGGAGGGAGGAGGGAGAGAGGGAGGAGAGATTGAGGGAGGGAAGGAGGAGGGAGGAGCAGGAGGGAGGAAGTGAGGAAGGGAGGGAAGGAGGGAGTAGAGCAGGGAGGGAGGGAGGGAAGGAGGGAGAGCAGCGAGGGAGGGAGGGAGGGAGGGAGAGAGGGAGGGAGGGAGGAGAGTAGGGAGGGAGGGAAGGAGGGAGCACAGCAGGGAGGGAGGGAGGAGAGCAATGAGGGAGGGAGGAGAGCAGGGAGGGAGGAAGGAGGGCAATCCTCCCTCCCTCCTCCCGTCTCGGGGCGCCCCGGGGCGCCAGGGCCTCTCCATGTTGGCCATCCTCTCCTGGGTCTCGCGCTCCTCGCGGTCCGGAGCCAAGCGTGGGCGGGGAGGAGGAGGGAGGAGGAGACAGAGGGGGGGAGGAGAGAGAGAGAGAGAGAGAGAGAGCCACCTCGCCATCGCTCGGACGTCCATTCCCCGTGCAGTTGTTCGACGTCGTGCGCGCTTCTTCGCAAGATGCTCAAGAGTGCTCCTCAGCGGTCCTCGGCGAGGAAAACGCACACGTCCGAGCGACGCCAAGCCAGAATACACCCGAGAAAGATGCATCAGCACGCGCCCCGCGGGCCTGCCGGGCAGTCAGGCGAGAGACCTGCGGTGGAGAGGAGCCGTGCTGCACCCTTCCAGTCGGTGCTCGGTCCAGCGTGAACACACAGCCCAACAGAGACGTGCAGCGACAGCCCCAGCGGAGGCTTCCCGACCGCTTCGGCCTCGTCGAGAGCTTCCCGGAGGTGTCCGGATCGTCCCAGACGGCCGCCAGAGACCCCAAATCATGATGGGCCCAGCTTCCACAACCACCACCACCACCATAGGGAGGAGGAGGAGGAGGAGGAGGAGGAGGAGGAGGAGGAGGAGGAGGAGGAGGAGGAGGAGGAGGAGGAGGAGGAGGAGGAGGAGTAAGAGGAGGAGGAGCAGGAGGAGGAGGAGGAGGAGGAGGAGAGGGAGGAGGAGAGGGAGGAGGAGCAGGAGGAGCCACCCCCATTTGTGTGCGAGCCTGCCCGTTCATGGCCATGAGCTGCGAGAGCCCCTGTGGGAGAGGCCCGCCCTCCGCCCGTGCGCCTGCGGATGCACCAGGAGATGCCCAGCGGGAGCCACCGCTCGAACGGGCTCCGTCCTCCGTCCCGGCACCTGCTGCAGACGGTTACAGTGGAGGCCCGCCCACAGGCAGCCTTTCACAGGAAGCCCAGGCCCGAGACCCGAGGACGCCCCGTCGACTCTCTGTGTGGGAACGCCACGCTCTCCACGGCAGAGCCATCGAAACCCGGGAGACCCGGGGCACCCTGGAGGCGAGCAGGGTGCTTCTTGGCATGGGTCTCCACTGTGTGGCGGACGTGTGGGTCTCCACTGTGTGAGCCCCCCTTCCCGAAAGGGAACCGCTCTCCGTCCCTGTCGCTGTTGCAGACGTTGAGAAAGAATGCACGCGGCGCGGAGGCGAAAGCCCTGGGTTAGAAGGAGCCGCCCTCCACCCAGGCATCTGCTGCAGGCGTTCTGCGGCGAGCTCTTTGCGGCACTTGGGCGAGAGCGCTCCATCTCGACAACGGCCCCATCCATTCCTGGCACGATTGCAATCCGCTGGCCCCCTTGTGGGGCCACCAGGCTGTAGGGCTAGGGTTTGCTGCTCCCTGCACCAGTTCCAGTTTCCAGTTTCCACTGTCACAGTTCTGCTTCTTGCTGCTTACTGTTCCTTGTTGATGGACCGCGCGAGGGGGGGGAGCCGAGAAGGAACCTAGTTACCACTCCCGAATCGCGTGCTCTGAATTCCTGAGGGGGGCGTGGGACACGTAAAAATATATGAATTTCGCGCCCCCGAGGCCATAAACCCTCGTAATGTACACAATGTTCGCGTCCCCGAGGCCATAAACCCAGCCATAAACCCTTGCTAAATACGCCATAGATTCTTGCCCCCGAAGCCAAAAAACTTTAAACTATGCAATACTAGCGTCCCCGAGGCCACAAACGCTCGCAACTCACGCAATATTCGCGTCCCCGAAACCATAAACCCTCGTAAGTTACGCAAGATTCGCGTCTCCGAAACGATAAACCTGCGTAAATGACGCAAGATGTGCGACCCCGAAGCCATAAATCTTTGTACATTGTACAATAATCGCGTGTCCGAAGCCATAAACCCTTGTAAATTACACAATGGTCGCGTCTCCGAAGCTATGAACCTGCGTAAATTACATTATAGCTGCTACCCCGAAACCATAAACCCGCGTAAATGACTCACTATTCGCGTATCCGAAGCCATAAACCCTCGAAATACAACATCGAATTCAACAATATCATCAGACTCTCAACTTGTCTTGCCGATCACTCATCGTCTTCACGTGTAGCCCCGACGCTGCTTCACGGCGGCGCCAAGGCCTCATGAGTTCGCTCTTGCATTGCCTATTATCCGAGAGAGGGGGCCGGCGGCAGGGGGCGAAGCCCTTACGGATATTGTGCCACGAATGTGTGCGGTGCAAGGCGAGAGCTCGATTTTGGAAATGCTTCTCCTCTCCGTCCTTGCTACCGCTGCACAAGTTTAAGACGAATGCGCGCGGCGCTAAGGCGAGGTGACTGTGACTACCCCCCTCACCAGCGTAAATGTTGCAAGTTTTCAGCTTCACGTTTCATGGTGATGAATCTTGAAGAGGTCCTACGCGAAACGCCAACACCTGCTCGACCGAGCCATCTGGAGGTGCGACAGAATGAGTGATCAACAAAGAAACAAAGAAAAGGGATGGAGGAGGGAGGTAAGAAGGAGGGGGGAAGGGAGGGGGGAAGAGGGAAGGAGGAGGAAGGAGGAAGAAGATGAGGGAGAGGAGGAGGAAGAAGAGGAGGGATCGTGGTTTCTGGACGTCCAGGAGGCCTCTGGGGACCTCCAGGAGGAGGGGGGCCTCTTGTTAGCTCGAGTTCCTCGGACAGATCGTGCTGTTATGACGCATTGTCGTAGCTCGGGCGGCAAGATTATGGTTTCGTACGAGCTGGCTCTTTTCACCCAGATGAGGGCAAGCGCAGAAGAGCTCTCCTACCTTCAGAAGTGGGGGTAGGGAAGAGGAAGACAGAAGAGAGGAGGGAGGAGGATCAGGAGCAGCAACAAAAACTGAACTGAGCTGAACGAACCTCGGGCCCCTGCTGAGGCGAATATACACGCGCCCTCGCATCGTGACCCCACACCCCACTTGGCATAGGGAGAATAGCAGTAAGGGGAGGAGCATCGAAAGAAGAATGAGCAGCAGCAAGAGGAACAAGAGAGGAGGAAGAGGAATAGGAAGCGGTTCAGGGAGTTGCAGGAGGAGGATAAGGGAGTAAGAGGATTGGGAAGGGCAGCAAGGACATGAACTGAGCAACACTTTGAACAGCGCTTTGGCAAGCACTGCGTGCCAGGAAGGAAAGCAGGAGCTGAGGAGGTGTAAGAGGTCAGAACGCTGCGAGCTCCGTCGCTCAGAGTCTGACCAACGTCAAGAGTAGGAGGAGGAAAGGAGGTGGAGGAGGAGGAACTGGAGGAGGAGAAAGAGGAGGAGAAAGAGGAGGAGGAGGAGGCGAAATCATCGATCACCACGAAGCCTCCACAGGCCCATTTTGGGCTTGTGCAGGCTTTGAGGTTGCGTTGCACAGCTGAACTCTCCCCAGGCCAGCGGCAAACTCGTACGGCCCTTTCTGTTTCACGAGCCGCGTCTACGCCGGACTGCCCAGAGGAGGCAAGGAGAATCCAGCAGTGGCAGCCTTGTCTGGGACAGTGGACTGGTGATCTGCAGGCTGGATCTGATGTTTCTGCTAACTCATCGCTCCCTTCGCCGTCTGCCCTCGTCGCCGTCGCAGTCGCGGGCCTGCAGAATCCTGGCCACAGCAGGCGCGACTTTGCCCCTGGGGGGGCCGCTGGCTCACTCGAAGCCAGTCCCCAGAGAACGCCAGCCCTGGCCTGTCAGATTGCTGTGCACCTCCGCAGGGGATCTGCCTGAACACAAACTTTCGGAGGTCCGCGCGGGTTTCTTGGATCCGCGCTGGGACCCCCCTCCCTGGCGGGGGTCGGGCGCAGGTCCAAGAACTCTGCGCGAAGCTCCGAAGGCTCCTGTTTGTACCAGCGTTTGCTCTTCCACCCCCGCTGGGCCGCGGTCGGGGGTCCCAGACCGTGCGGTGACCTCGAAATCCCAGGAGACATCACAGCGCGGCCCGGCACCGCACGGCATTGGGACCTCGGAAGCCCCAGTCGCTCAAGACGTCGTGGGAGAACGACCCGAGTCCCGAAACCGTGCGGTGACCTCGAATCCCCAGTCGGGGGCGTCCAGGAGGGGGGCGTCCAGCAGGGGGGTTCGCAAATCATGGCCAGCGGCATGTGCGCGGACGAGGAGGGGCCAGGGGGCGCAGTGAAATAAGAAGAGGCAGCATGAAATCTGGGGAGTTATCATGACCCCGGCCATGATTCCCCCCCAAATCATCAGCCCCCTCCTGGCCGCCCCCGACACTGCCTCACCACACGGTGTGGTCACCACACGGTGTGGTCACCACACCGTTTGGGGGACCCCGATGAGCAGAGGACGGAGTCTCCACAGGTCCCTAGAGGCATCCGAAGCCTCCGATGAGATTGAGGACATCAGGGCCCGATCGAGGATATCGAGGGTACTGAGGTTCGGGTAAGGCGCGACATGGTCATTTTCCTCGATCCTGTTGGCCTCCGCCCCGCCCCGCCACCCTGCACCGGGCGCAGCCAGCTTGCCGGGCGCAGGGAGGCAGCCCTTCGGTACAACCGAGCCGCGATGCTCCCCCGCAGCCGCCAGCACACAGTCGGACCTAGGCCAGAAGAACATCCTTCAAGAACATGAGACCCTCCGTGGGCCAAACCAAACAGAACATCCCAGGGTGCCCTCCCCAGGCTGCACAAGGACATCCAACAACCACGAAGAACACGAGGCCGCCCTCCCCGAAGCGAGCTCGAGCTTGTGCCTCGGCCCGACTGCCAAAGGCCGCGCGCGCGTGGCGCCCGCGGCGGCTCCTTCTTCTGCATGTGGTGCACCCGGGACTGCTCCTTCGCGGTCTTGGCGTTCTGAAGCTTCTGCTCCATAAGTCCCTGCCTTAGCGCCGCCAGAGGGGCGGGCCGCCCTCCCCCCCAAGGCCCCGTCCCGCCCCATCCCTCGCCGCCCCCATCTGCATCGGGCGCTACCCTTGTCATCCCCTCCTCTTCCTTCTCCTTTTCCCTTCTCCTCCCTCCTGCTCCTCCTCCTCCAGATCCTCCTCCGCCTCCTCCTCCTTCAACTCTTCCTCCTCTGGCACATCTGATCTTCTCGAGGCGTCTGAACGGTTCGCCTGCCCGAAAGCGGTCTGGCCATTGTTGCGCGGAGGACGAATACGACTACGAATCGCAATATCAATGATAACCTTACGAATATAATAATATACGAACAGCAGCAACCACAACAACAAGGTTGACACGTGACATTGTTGCCCGTTCACCGGGAAACTTGGTCAATGCTTGACCTTAAAGGACAACCCGTGACCTTGCTGCCCAGGGGTAAGCACCCCCCCCCAGCAACCAGCAACCAACAACCTCGGGCTCCATTCCTCTCTCCGCTGTAACTTCGCTTGCTTAAGGGTGTGAAGTCCTCCTTCATGCAATGTTTCCATGTCTGCACCAGCGAAGCTCCAGAATCTACCGGCTCCTACATGATCCTGTAGAATCCTATAGGAATCCTCTTAGGGATCCTGTAGGAATCCTATAGGGATCCTATAGGAGTCCTATAAGATTCTATAGGACCCTATGGGGATCCCATCGGGATGCCATGCGATCATGTAGGATCCGATAGAATACCATGGGACATTCTATAGGAATCCCATGCGACGCTGTCGGATCCTATTGGGATCGTACAGGGATTGTATAGGAATTCCATGCGACCCTATCGGATCATATAGGAATCCGATAGGGATTGTATAAGAGTCCCATGCGGTCCTGTTAAAATCATATAGGACTTGTACAGGGATTGTACAGGAATCCCATGCGATCCTATCGGGTCATATACGAATCGCATGAGGATTGTATATAATAGGATCAGATAGGAATCCTATAGGGCTCCTCGTGGATCCTATACGATCCTATAGGATTCGATTGGATCCTATAGGAGTCATATAAGGATTATATCGGATTCTCATGAAACCCTATAGGATCTTAAAAGGCTCCTATAGGGATCCTATGCGATCCTATGGGATCCAACAGGGATCCTGTGGGGATTCTATTGAGGTCCCATGCGATCCTGTAAGATCCTATAGGAATCGTATAGGGATTTATAGGAATCCCATGCGTTCCTGTAGGATCCGATAGGGCTCCTATAGGGATCCGATGCGATCCTCTAGGATCCTATAGGGATCCGATGGGATCCTGTGAGGATTCGATGGGAATTCCATGCGATCCTATAGGATCTATGGAAATCGGACAGGGATTGTTTAGGAATCCCATGCGATCCTAGAAAAATCCTATGGGAATCGTATAGAGATTGTATAGGAACCGTGTAGGACCCGATCGGATCCCTATAGGGTCTTATAGGATCGTTCTAAGATCCTAGACGACTCAAATTGGATCCCTATAGGATCCTATAGAATCCTGGTCAGGCCAATGCCACGGTCCTCGAGAGGGGTGTGCTGAAATAGACCTTCGGTTGCTGGTTGCTGGTTGCTGAGGGGGGGCCGGGCAACAAGGTCACGTGTCAATCAGCAGCAACAACAACAAGGATTATAAAAAAATAATAAGAAAACTAAGGACAGTAACACCAATAATATGAATAATGACGAAAATACCATTGATAATAACGGTCACCAGTATCATCATGATAAGGATAACCAATCAGAATGAAAATACGAATAAGAACAACAGTAAGAATGGTAGTAGTAGTAATTACAAGAAGAACAATCAGCAAATAAGAATAAGAACAAGAATGAGGATGATAATGAACATGCGAATGGTGAAACGAAGAAATATGACAAGGGTAATACGGATAATAACCGTAATACGAATACGAATGGTAAGAATAAGAATAATAATCATCATCAGTATCATCAGAATTGATATAGCAATGCTAATGACGACAAGAGTGGCAGCAATGACAAATAACAACAAAACAATAATAAACATCGGAAGCAGCATCATCGTCGTCATTGTCATCACCATCACCATCAGCAGCATCAGCATCATCATCATCATCATCATCACCATCAGCATCACCATCATCATCACTACAATCACACAGTCGCCATCACCATCACCATCACCATCACCATCATCACCCTCATCAAAAGCGCACAGCCAGCATCAGCATCAGCAGCAACATTGTCATGACCATTGTCACGACCATCCCATTCATCATCACCATCATCACCAGAATCACAAGCAGTAGCAACCGCATCGTTATCACCACCAGCAAGTTGCGATGGCAGTAAGAGAAGTCATGAGAGCTGTAACTCGCATGTGACTGCCTGGTGGACTCATACGTTGAGCTTCTGATGCTGTGAGCTGGCATGCGCGGGCTGCAACTGAACTTCTTCGCATTCAAAACGAGGCACACCCGAAGCAGAGAGTTTCTGTTGCGCACTTCCATCCAGGGCCCACGACACGAGAACAGCGATTAGTTGAGTAGCTGGATGTGGGTGGACGGGGGGGGAGTTAATTAAAAGGGCCCAGGGACACACACGTAAAACGATAGAATCCCGAGGATTCCAGATACTCCCCATATGTCCCGGATGCTCGAGACGTTCCCACCTTTTCCTGGGGATCGACGCGTTCGTGTCTGTGTGTCTGCTTGTCCCTCCCGATACTCGGCGCGGGGGAGTGCCCTCCGAGGGGGCGCGGAGGCAGCCCTCCGAGCCTCACAGCCGTCAGCCGGGGTCCACAGAACACCATTGGGTTTGCGTCTACGGCCGCTGGCACTCTGCAGCGGGCGGAGGCTGCCGGCGTGTGCCGCGGAGAGAGAATCGCGCCGGGCTGTCCGGAAGGCAGCGCAAGACACCCTCGCCTGCGCGGACAGACCGCCGCGGTCATGTCTGAAACCGCGGTCAGTATACACGGGCGAGTTGTGGACACTGGTATGTTTACACGTTTGATGGCAATCGGCCACCCGAACCTGTACAGGCCGACCGCCGCTGACAAGTACGAGGGTGGGGGTGTGTATGCAAGCGGGTGTCTCTTGTTGTTGTGATTGTCTCCTCTGCCTCGTTCACGCGAAGGGCAGCCCCCCTGTCAAACAATTTCGCACGGGCAGGTGTCGCCTGGGTAGGCATCTCGGGCGCAAGCTAGGATCCAGAGGGGCACCCCTAGAGACACTGGCCACTTGATACTTTCTAACCTGGGGTCCCTGCACAATACGTATGCCCTTGCGCGAGAGCTTTCCCAACTCATCAGCCGTGTACGAGCGCAACTAGATCCGCACCCTGACCGCCCCAATTGGCGCCGTCGTGAATTTCTACTCCAGCAGGCACCCAAGACGAAACTGCACTGCGCGGCCCTGCCCCATGAAAAGAGGCTCGTTGCTCGCCCGACCTCTGCCTCCTGCAGGAGCAGGCAGCTTCGGCCGCGGCCCCGGCCCCGGCACAGCTGTGCAGGGCGCCACTCCTGCACAGTCGTGGTGCGGGGCGGTAGCCAGGGCTCGCCCCCGTCAGCAACCAGCAGTAAGAGGCTCCGAGTCAGGGTTTCCCCAGGCGACGGGCGTCCCCCCGCGGCAATCCCTCCTCGGCACAGGGACTGTTCAAAGGCGGCGCGGTCGCAGACCTGGCAGTTGATCCATGATCGTCCTCCCTCCACCATTGCCTCCTCCTCCTCTTCCCCCTATTCCTCCTCCTCGTCCTCCTCCTCTTCCTCATCATCATCTGCATCATTATCAACCTCAATATCATCATCAGCATCATCACCATCAGCGGCATCATCATCATTATCAGCATCATCATCATTAGCATCAGCATCATCAGCATCATCAGAATCATCAGCATCAGCATCATCATCATCGTCATCATCGTCATAATCATCATCGCATCATCATCATCATTATCATCATATATCATCATCATCATCAGCATCATCATCATCATCATCATCAGCATCATCAGCAGCAGCATCATCATCATCATCATCATCATCATCATCATCATCATCATCATCATCATCATCATCATCATCATCATCATCATCATCATCATCATCATCATCATCATCATCATCATCATCAGCAGCAGCAGCAGCATCATCATCAGCATCAGCATCATCCTCCTCCTCCTCCTCCCTCCTCCTCTCCTCCTCCCCTCCTCCTCCTCCTCCTCCTCCCTCCTCCTCCTGCTCCTCCCTCCTCATCCTCCCTCCTCCTCCTCCCTGCTCCACCCTGCTTCCCCCTCCTCCCCCCCCTCCCCTCTCCCTCCTCCTCCTCCTCCTCCTCCTCCTCCTCTCCTCCTCCTCCTCCTCCTCCTCCTCCCCTTATCCTCCACACCACGCCAGTAGCCATTTTTCATCGAGTCCGCCTCCGTCCCTCCTTCTCTCCCTCACTCCCTCACTCCCTTCCTACCCGGCATCCCTGGGCGGCACGACGCACACTCCAGCTGCGCGTGCAGCCACAAACCAGCAGACCAGCAACGAGCACAAGCCCTGTGGCAACCAGGCACAAAGTGCCCCGACAGCGAAGCAAAGGCGGCGCAGCAGATAGCCGCGCCGCGGCGAAACTGGCGGACCCCGAAGCGGGTGAAACCTCACGCCCGACTCCGCATAGAGCGTCTGGTCGCACCCCTTCCTCCTCATCCCCCTCTGCGACCAACCTCCTCCTCCTCATCATCCGCCTCATCCTGCCCCTCCCCATCCGCCTCTCCCTCCCCTCCCCCCTCCTGCTCTCCATCTCCCCCCTGGCAAACCTCATCGTCGCCAGATTACTCCAAGGACGCGCTACTGCGTTGGGGGGCAGGAGAGATCCCTCACTGCCCCGCGCCACCCACGCAACGAGGAGGGGCAGCAGCAGGGAAAGAGGCTGTTGAGAAGGATGAGGACGAGGAGGAGGCGCCAGGAGGGAGGGGAGTGGAGGGAGGGGGGCGACGAGGGAAGACGGAGGAGGGATAACGAGGACCGCCACCGCGCTCGTGGCCCCCTAGGGCCGTGCCGTCGCCTAAAGGGGGGGAGGGGGGGAAGCGACGGCGGAGGCCCACGTCGGCGGCCCTCCCCCGGGGCGCGCCTGGTCTGCTCGCGGATCGCTTTGGCCTTGTCGCGCTGGGACTGGTTCTGCGCCTGGGGGTGCGGGCCACTGCACGGCGGCGGCGGCGGCGAGAGACGACGGCGGCGGCTGCGAGGGTGACGGTGGCAGCAGCGACGACGGACGGCGGCTGCAACTGCGAGGAGGCCGAAAAGGACGACGATGGGAAGGAGAGAGACGGGAGAGGAGGAGTTTTGCAATGCGCGGCAGCCAGGCGCACACCCTATTCGCGAGAGCAAAAAGGCCGGGCGACAGGCTGGCAAAACAAAACCTGCGGGCTAAACACCCGCCGAGGGCCACTCGCGGACCCCAGGCCTAGGAGGGAGGCCCTTGCGCAGCCGCAACAGAGCAGTCAGCTGCGCCTTGGTCAGCGCGAGGGGCCCGAACCTCGCCGCCTCGCACTCCTCCAGAAGACGGGAGGGCCTGGAGTCCGCGTAGCGACCGCAGATGCTGCAGAACGTGATGGCACCCTTGCGCCACAAAAAGTGCGAGGCATGCGGCAAATGACCCGCTATGCCAGTGCCAGGAGGCAGCCGAGATGGGGGATCAGGCATCCCCAGAGAACGAAAAAGTTGTTCGTCGATGGGCGGCAGCCCTTCGTACGAGCGCGGCAGCCTGACGCAGGCCCGAGGCGCGGGAGCTGCGTCCTCCACCTCTGGCTCTGCCGCAGGCTCGAGAGGCACCACACCGTCCCCCCCCCCGTCCGCGACCGCCCCGTCCCCCTCCCACTGCTGGCCTCGCTGCTGCAACTCCACGCTGCAGGGAGGCGTGCTGGGCGACGGCCTCAGGGCCGAGCACGAGGAACGAAGAAGATGGAGGGCGCGGCTCTGAGTGCGCCTGACCGATCGACCACAGCTCTGGCAGCGCCAGCCGAAAGCGGTCGGCGCAAAGGCATGCTGGGAACGGGCCGCGAAGCCAGAAAGCAGCTCCTCCCTCCTCTGAGCCCTAGAAACCTTCGGTTTGGTCACCTCACGGCCAGGGCTCTTGGGGGCGGAGGCGGCGGCAGCACAGAGAGTAGCATTGCGGAGCAGGATGGCCTCGGCCTGCTCCACCAAGTCCAAAGCGCGGCGTGCTACATCTGGATCAAGCTGAGCCTCCTCGGACCGCTCCTCGGCGAGCCCGTCTGCCACTGCATTGAGAAAAATCGCCTCGGGCAGCACAGTGTGGCCAAGACGCGCAAACTTCGCGGGGTCCTCAGCTAGATGCGAGGGCACGTGCAGGAGCGAGAAGCGGCCCACGCGGGCGTCAAGCAGCGAGAAAAGGTCGTGCCAGAGGTCCGCGTGCTCGAGCCTGTAGCAGTGGCGGCGTCCGCGCGCCATCGCCTTCACGTGATTCACGTGGTCGGAGTACAGCTTGAAATCGGCAGCTGGGTGGACGGCCCTGACGCACTCCACAATGGCCAGGAGCTCAGCACGGGGCACCGTTTGCACAGGGCCGTCCACCAAGCCCGTGCAGCCTGAATCCCAGTCCAAACCCTGGCCGTCGCCAAGGCGGGCAAAGCTCCACGCCACACGTCGTAGCAAGGGCTGAGACGACCAGGCTCCACCTGCACCGTCGGTAGCGTAGATCCCCCCTGGCAGCTCCCCGCCACCGCAGCGCAGCCACCGATGGCCACGCTCGTCGGGGGGAGGCGGGATGTTCAGCCAGGCAAGGGGCACAAGCCCGCGGCACCAGAAGACAGGGGCACGGTCGATCTCCTCCAACGCCTGGCTGCGAAGATGGTTGGAGGAGACCACGGCCTCTGGAGGGGGAGGCACACCGACCGAGAGCGCCCAGTCCCTCTCCATGAAGTTGCACATGCATTCCCAGAAACGATGACGGCTGGATTCACGGGAGCGGTGGCAACGCTGGCACAGATCGTCCGTGCGGTAGCCTGCCTGGTGGCGACGCTCCTCCGTCCAGTATCCTCCACATGCGACCAGGCGAACAAGGCTGGCAAGACTGTGCTGGGACTCCTTCTCCAGCCGTTCCGCCAGAGCAGGCACATGTTGCCACCAAACGCCCCCCTCCGCCCCACCCCCGTCAAGGTGCTTGGCCGCCTGTCGCCAGGCAGCGTTCTCAGCGGTCTGCTCCAGAGCCGCGAGGAGGCAGGTGACGGGGGCGACGGAGGTGGCGAAGAGCTCCCACTCCTGCCCGTCTGGCTCGACCAACTTGGACAGGGACGGGCACTGCCAGCCAGCTGCAATGACAGAGGCCTGGAAAGCTGAGAGCGGGCCGCGCACGAAGTTCCAGCCTCGCGCCACCCGCTTCAGGGACGCGTCCCATCCTCGCTGGACCTTCGCAGCGAGGCCGTCCTCTCCAAGGACTCGAGAGTAAAAAGCTCCTACGATGTGCCTCAGGTACCAAATGGGCGGGTCGCGCCGCGCCCCAAAACTGATGCGGATGGCCACAGTGGCGCACGTGCCGCGCTGTGGGCACTTGCTGGCGAGCCTCGCCTGACCACGCAGCTGCTTCAGCATGGTCGGCGCCAGCCCGTGCACCTCAGGCGCCCACACCGACTTCGGCAGGGCATTGGAGACGAAAAGGCGTGAGGCTCGCGGCGCTGACCTGACCAGACCCGAGATCTTGAGCGCGGCGCGCCTGCCCTTCATGAAACGCTTCTTGCGCACCTTCACGGAACGCGAAGCACCGAAGGATGTGTCGTGGCCGAGGTCGCGGGCAACACGAACAGTCCTGAGGCCACCAGCCCCGACCTCGGCCGCTGACGCCCACGCGGGCAGCAAGGAACGGATGGCAGCAGAAGAGGCCATGAGGCCACACTTGCCTAGTGAAAACTCGCATCGCAACCTGCGTAGGCCCGTGAAGAGGGCGCGCAGCACCACAGGAAAAGCTAAGCTAAGCGAGTGCTCAGTGCCGAAAAGGCGGAAGGCGAGGTCGTCGATCCACTCCCTCAGGCGCAACCCTGGCACCAAAGCGTGAGCCGCCTTCAGCGGGCCGTGCAGGTAGGCACGCGCCTGCGAGACAGCTTGGCCACAGCCAGCGAGGATGCCTCCGCCAGGCAAGATACCTGTGTGCACCTGGCGCTGGAGGGTGAGGAGGCGAGGACCGAGGTAGACGTCGAGGGCGAGGGCGAGGAGGCGGAGGGGGTAGCCTAAATCCTGGGCCGCCGCCGCCAAGTCGGGCAGGGACACCAGGTCGTAAAACTTCCGAAGGTCGAGCAGTCCACCCGCAACCTCGAAGCCTCCCAGGAGCGCAAGCTCCCCCTCCAGCTCGTCCAACCACCCAGCAAGGTCAGCCGAGCCGCCCACTGTCTTGTCCCAGGCCCCGTGCTGGTCACGGTCCCAGGCTCCTATCACAGGCTTCCTGATGCGGCATAGCAGCACGTAACTGAAATTGAGCAAGGCGATGGGCCTCAGACCTCCATCCTCCTTATCCAGCAAGGCGATGAGGTTGAACAGCTCTTGAAAGGGCACTGTGGCCTCGCGCTCGATGGCCGTCAGAAGGGCCGCGAGCGCAGCGATGGCAGCAGGCGGCGCATCCTTGACCAGGCGAGGCGGCATCATGTCAATCCCCCTCCCCCGACGATCAGGAACGGTCTTTAACGCCCCCCTCACCTGGTCAGGAGAAACAGGCTCGAAGCAGGCTGACAAGAGAGCAGCACGGCGGATCCTCGCGAGGGCCTCCAACGCCTCGGGCCGCGAATGCTTGCACCAGATTGCGTGCCACGAGGCGGCCTCCGCCTCCAACACGGCAGCTGGCGTGGAGGCTGGCTCTCCATCCCAGACAGGCTCGGCGCGACAAAAAGCGGGAGGATCGCGGAGGAGCCTATGGGCTTTGCTCGCAGAACCCGCCAAAGCGTCGGACAGCCAGGAGCGCCAGCGCGCACGGGCCGCCGCAGCCGCGCGCTGGGCAGCCTGGACTCCCTGCTCCTTAGCCTCCTCCGCGATCTGCTGAAGGCTGTCGAGCGAAAGCGAGCGAAGCTGGCGGAGCCATGAGATCCACCGCTCGAGGACCACTTTTTCCACCGCATCGTTCGGGTCGATAGGCGGGGGCAGCTGCAGGGCCTCAAGCCCACGCATAGTGCTCCAGAACTGCTCGCCACAGCCGGCGCGCGGAGTAGACGCCTCTGATGGGTCCGCCTCGGGATCAGCCAAACGCAGAAGCAAAGAGACCTGCACAGCGAGGGCCTGCCAGAAACGTGCATGGCGGTCAGCGAGAGGAGGGCCGTCGCTGGCTCGAGGCACGATGGGAACGCACTTGAGGCGAGGCTGCTGGCACCGTCCAACGTACAAAGGCCACTGCGAGCGAGGGACTCCTTTTTTGGCACAGTGAACAAACTCCAGAGCTAGGGCCCACTCCCCCAGCTGGCTTCCGAGCAAAAGGGCAGTCTGCGGCACATCGTGATCAGCAATGGCTAAGCTGGCCGCCTCAAAGTTAGAAGTAAAACGGGCAGAGGAGCGCTGGCGAAAAGCTCGGGCCTCAGATAGGGCGACGTCCCAGTCCAGGTCGTAGCTGTCGTTGGAGGCGACACAGATGTCCAGTGCCTTCGGCATGACCACGCACCAGCCCATGAGCGTCCTCGGGTTGGCCAGGATGTCGTAGGAGAGCGCGAGGTGGGTGCCCCACGGGGCCGAGATGTCGACCCCTGCAAACTGCACCGCCGACGCGAAGGAGGACGAGACCAGGGCGTAGTCAATGGCGCGCCCCGCGCCCCTGCCGCCAGTACACGTGACCTGCAAACCTGACTGCACCTCGACCAGGCCGAGCGCCGCCATGAAGCCAGTCGCCGCCAACTCGCTGGACACTGACTGCCAGTCCCCGACGACGAAGAGAGGGCCCGCCAACTGGCCGAGCCGAGCACCCACTTGAGAAAGTAACTTGAGGTTGCGGCCGCCCAGTTCCTCGCCCGAGACCATGTAGATCGGGACGATGGTGAGCGTGACGCGGCGCAGCCTGAGGGTGGCCACACACCAGCGCGAGCAAGAACTTGATGTCCAGCCTCCGTTCGCCTCGAGGCACAACGAGGCGAGCCCAAGACGGGCACGGGCGAAGATCACAACCCCCGCCGACGTGGAGGAAGCTTCCGTGGCGTCGG